TTGGTCGGTCCGGTGGTTAGTTAAGTTGGTCGGTCGGTTGGTCGCTAGCGTGTCCGTCGTGTTGTATATATATATATATATATATATATATATATGTACACACACACGCACACACACATATATATATATATGCCATATGTTAATACACAAATGGCCTACAGCGCTTCAGCCACACCTTTCCGATATATGATGCAATACTTTAGATACGTAAAACTTGCGAGAGAACCTTATGATGGTTTAATCACGTCTTCATTGCTATATGGTGCGGTGTGGTGTAATATGATGCCCATGCACATCACTGAATATATAACCTAGCCATTAAAACTAGTGACATGTACAAGTGACTGCCTGACCTACTGACCTAGTAATCGCCTGCCCTAGCCCTACCTTATCTGAGCCTTGGACCTTTTTCGTTTTGTTCTGCGCTTGAAACTTCTTGAAGTCTGATGTGACGGTGTCGATGGTCTCTGCGATATGTTTGTGTCTGTGTGTGGGTGGGGCAAGTACGGTCCAGTATATCAGTACGGATGCGAAAGCCGACCTATATGCACACATACTCACCCGAGACTGTACATACTTGCACACACGTATATGTATACACACGGTATGTGTAAACACACACACACACTGTATCGTTGTCAGTATACACGGGCACACTCTGTCAGTAGCTGTGTATTTGAATACGTTTTCAAGCGCAACTGTACACGCTCTATATAGGCAAGCCAGACCACCAAGTGATGTAGTCCCCTGCCCACACATTGTCCTTTCGCACCCCACAACTCGACATGCATGTATACACGCCAGGTGATGTGCATGTGTACCTTCTCCAAAGGGCAAGGATTCTTCTACATTTGCACAAATACATACATGCATGTACATACACCCACTTGTAGTTGCAATCGCATCTACTGGCTCGGAACTACATACATCTTTGCACACATACTAACTAAAAATCGGGATACAGAGCGTCCTGTTCGCGCACGATAGTCTGTTTGGACTGTGTGCACATGCACGCCGTAAGTACATGCACACGCAATCATTGATGCGTAGGCATACTTCACAATACAAACGACCCTATAAGTATACATACATGTGGTCATGTGTATATATTGGTATATACATATATATACTCTAATGCATTCATACACGCTCACATACTCACCTGAGATCGGGCCAGAGAGCATCGTGTTCACCCAGGATGGTCTGTGTTGTTTTTGTGCCTGCCGGGCCCTTTGCCTCGTGTACGTACACATCGTTATCGATGTCCAACAGATCATACGCCATCGCTTGGTAGGTAAGTTCGTGCAACACGGGTGAGATCACATCTACAGTTCGGTCGAGCACTAGAAGCTGGCCTCGTGGACCGGTCTGTATGCAGCAGATAGTATATGAAAGGTTGTGTTATTAGATATTAGTATATTAGTATATATATATATATGTTTGCGTGTGTGTTTGTTTGTATGTGCCTTTGTGTGCAAAAATGTACCGTTAAATAATATGACTATATCATACCTGCTTGATGGTCTCGTCCGCAACGAGCTCGTCCAACCTCGCTTGCAGCGCAAGCGCAAGGTCTCCGGCTCTGTTGGCCGATGAGGCGTAGCACACATAGGGATTCTCACCCAAAGTGACACACACAGTCGCCAGTTGTTCGGCTACGTCGCCGGATTTGAAGCGATTGGTATCGGTTGTGTTGAAGGCGTCGTAGAAGTCCATGGGACGGTCGAGGGTGAAACACTGCGGATGGGATGAGTGTACATGACATGTATAAATACAGATATAAATATACAAATACATATATATATATATATATATATATATATATATATATATATAGTAG